ACCCCGCAGTCCTGACCCCAGTCCCCTCACCCCCCACCCCGCAGTCCTGACCCCAGTCCCCTCACCCCCCAGCAAGGAGTCCAGAAGCGCAAGCGCTCCTCTACCTCGAACCCGGAATCCGAGCCCAGCCTCCCCTCCAAACTCTGGGCACTCCCAGCCCTCACTGCTCCACGCCGAGCGTGCCGCACGCCCACCCCCTGTTACCTCTGGGGTTCCGCTGGGCGGACTGCGGGCCCCCAGGGCCCCGGCCTCGGCGCTGCGCCAGCCTCGCTGTCACCCCGCAGCCAGTGCCGCCGGGTCCCCGATCGTGGGTCCTGTTCGCCGCGAGTGTTTAAATGGGGTCTGGCCCCGCCCGTCGGGGCGGCCCGCCCCCAGCCCGGGAGTCCCCGCGTCTCGCTCCAGAAACACAGGCCCTGAAGGGCTGGGCTGACTTTGAGCCCCGACCCCACGGGTCCAGGAGAGCGGGCTCCCTACTTGGTCTGAGCAAAAAGGGCCTGGGATTCTGGACTCCTGCAGCAGGAGGCCCTGGAGGCCTGGGTTCTCGTCTCTGCCCAGGGGGTGCTGGAGACCTGACCCCTAGGCTGCGGGGTGGGGGCTATCGGACTGGGTCCTGGGGGAGGAGAGGCCTGGGGTCCGGACTTCCTGGCCTCCAGGTAAGAGTGATAAGGGTAGACTAAATTTCTCCCTGTCCCCCACATCACCTCCTTTTTCAGAGGTCAGTTCTCATACATTCATTTAAAATAATGTATTACCGCAGGGGAAGCACTTTGCTGGGTGCTGTGTTCTAGCTGTGACCTAAGCAGGCAGGAATTCCCGCCCTCAAGCTGGCTGACACTCCAGGGAGGGGCTGTTCTCAGTTCCCAGCTCCGTGATTGTCCACACACCAATGGACAATGTTAATCGCATGTCTCCCCTGCTGTCATGCTCTCCTAGTGGTTCTCCTTCATTTGCTGCTCCTCAATTTCCCTGGCTGTTTCTTCCTCTTCAGCATTTTTGAAGGGATGGGGGAGATGGGGGGGGGGTCTCCATGTGTACTCACTTCCTTGGCAATCTCATCCAATCTGGTGACTTTAAATACCATCCATAAGCCATCAACCCCCAAATTTACATCTCCAGATGAGATTTAGCCCCTGAACTCGTAGAGGCAGCTGTGGTCACTCAACTTCTCCACAGAAAGATCTATCAGGCATTCCCAACTCAGTGTGCCCAAACCTCCAGCACTTCCCTTCCCCCGCCCCATAACTGCTTCCCCTCCGCCATCCTGTCTAAGGATGCTCCATCTTTTTTTAGTCGCTTAAGCCGTAAGCTTTGGTCATCCTGGATCTCTTTCACACACACACACACACACACACACACACACACACACACACAACCTTATCTACTCCATCAACAAGTTTTGTTGGCTCTACCCCCCAAATCTTTCCAGAGTCTCCCCAGTGCCCACCCACACCCTGGCCCACCTGTTACCTCCCACCTGAACAATCATAGCAACTTCCCTAGTCTCTGTCCCTTCCCCCAGTTGGTCCCCAAAGGCAGTCAGAGGGACCCACCATCTCTCCCCCCCCCTCCCCCCGCCTCCACCCCCACAGGAAGCAGTTAGCCTTGCTACCAGCAGGGTGACATCCGCTTTTGCTGCCTCTCTACTCCCCCACTCTTCCTCAGAACCTCTCTGGACCAAATCCCTTCCAGCCCCCAACCCACCATGCTCCCTCCAGGCAACATCCTGCTCCTGCTTTTGCTCCCAGGTGAAGCCAGCAGTTATCGGGTGGGGGTGGGGGAGTGGCAGGCAGATATTTGTGAAAGGGGTGGCTTGGGTGGCGTCTGAAGGGAGGGGTGCTGAGGGCAGATCCTTCTCCCAGTGCCCCTTCTTTTCCGGGAGATCCATTTGGCTTCTGGGTCTGGTTCTTTGGGGAGGGAAGCTGAGGTCTGGACTGCCTACCTATTAATCTCCCCTTCTCACTGCTGGATCTCTGCTGATTTCCTGTCTCTGCTTTTCTGGGGGCTCCCCTACCTTTTGGCCGCTCTTTCTCATTTGCTCTTTTGGAGTGGAGCTTACTTCTCAGCACATCACCTTTCCCTGCACCTATTTTGGGAACCACCTTTCCCACTGATTATGTTCTCTCTTCTTCCCACAGTGGCTGCAGCTCAGGTAACTCCAGGTGAGATATCAAAACTCCTTCCTCTTTGCCATGCTACTTCAGGTACTGTTTCCATCCCTAAAGTATAGCTTGAGGATCCTGGAATACCCCCAGTGGCTCTCCAGATCCCCATCTCACTGTAGCAAATTGAAGCCCCAGGGACTTGGCCAACCCCCAGCCTCTCTTCAGGAGTGCCCACTATGCCCAAAGCCCAGCACATGTCTCACTATGCTTGAATACCCAAGACTCTCTCTGGATCTCCATCTCCCTTTTCATCCCTCAAGTGCAACCCCAGGGAATTGGTCACCCATCAGGGACTTCTTCTGCCCATATGCCCACAGCACAGCCCTGAAAGCCTGGAATCCCCCTCAGCCACCTTTTTGTTTTGGCCTCCACCCTCCAGGTTCCTATTCCGGATGTGGGCCCCTCCCTCTGCCACTTCTGGCAGGCCTTGTGGCTGCTGATGCTGTGGTGTCTCTGCTGATCGTGGTGGTGGTGTTTATGTGTGCCAGCCCACGTGACAGGCCCACCCAAGGTGAAGGCAGGGCCTGGACTGGGGGTGGTGTCCCTAGGGAAGAGGTCCCCATGGAGGGGTCCCCTGGGGGAAGCCCTGGAGGTGCTGCTGGGGAAACCCTGGGGGCCCTGCTGGGGGAACTCCTGAGGAAACCCCTGAAGCAGGAGGTCCCTGGGGAGGCGGAGATGTGGGTGGGTGGTGGGTGGTCAGGCCTCATGCTTTCTTTTCCCCACCCCCAGAAGATGGCAAGGTCTACATCAACATGCCTGGCAGGGGCTGACCCCCTGTAACTGGGACCTCTGACTTCTGACCCTCTCATCCTGGATTGTGCATGGTGGCACGGGAAACCTATTCAATAAAGCGACTGAAATGCCTCTACTTCTAATTCTTCCTCAAAGAACCAGGGTCCCCAAAGCCTCCCTCCCATTGGCTGTTTCTGGGTCTATGACCGACCCTCCCAGAACCCCAAATATCCCCATCCCCTCAGCCCAGAGATATGCAATAACTCAACAGTGTTTTGTGTTCCATGTTTATTTGGGGGCAGGGGGGCAGGGAAAGTCTGATATCTCAGAGAGGCCACTCTGCAGATCTGTACTTGGTGGGAGTAGGAATAGGGTGCTGGGTAGACATCAGGAATGGCTGGATCCAGGCATCGGGTTGTTGACTGCCATGGTTTGGGCTCATTTGTAATACTGCCTCTGTGTGTTGAGGTCACTGTAGACATCCGATCTCTGACCTTGGAGCTCCTAAAGGGATGGACAGGGTGGCAACCATCAGTGGAATGGGTCTGCCAAATAAACTTAAAACAAAATCCAACCTTCTCCCAGTGGCCTGCAAGGCCCCTGGTAACTTCTTCAACCTTGCAGCCATGTTAGAAATCTATTTTATTCAGGTGCCTTCAAAGTTCCCCTTTCTCCTCTGCCTCATCATTAGGCCCCAGCCTCAGAGCTTTTGCACATACTGTTCTCTCTGCTTGGAATACTGGTCCCCTAAATATTCCCATGGATGGTTCCATCCTTCCCTTCAAGTCTTAGCTCATGTCACTTCCTCAGAAAGGCATTTCTTGATTTCTTCATCTGTAGTTTCTTCCCCCCGCCCCCCCCCACCACCCCAGATGATCTTATTTGTTAATTTGCTTCAATTCTGTTTACCCAACTAGGATGTAAGCTCTGCAGCTATGGCTTCAGTATCTGGTACATGTGGGTGCTCAACAAATAAAGTGGAGCAATGCCTTGCCCTAATATTTCACTGCTCCCAGTAACTGGAAAGCTCCTTCAGTCTTATGGACCTCACAGAGCTAGACTCAAGATCTTACACTTTAGAAAGAGACTTTTCATCACAAGTGAGGCAAAGCAAAGCTGGTTGTGGACAAATAAAACAGATTTCATAGACTAGGGCTCACAGTGACAGAGGGAGGGTCTATGGCCCCAAAAGGCAGGCATCACAGGGCAGGAATGAGACAGAAGGAAGAGAAGCTGGTTTCCTCACCTGATAAGGTGACTCTGTCTCAGTGATGCGCTGTTTCCGGGTCACTGCTGGGGGTGGGAGTGGCACAGGTGCAAGGGCACACAAGGGGGTAAATTGGGATTATTTAGTTGATGCGAAACCATCACCATCCCCTTGGATGATTGTGACTTGGGAGCTTACCCCTCCCCTCCAGGCAAGTCCTCAGAGAGTCCCATCCCCATCCAATCCCACTCACCCTCCACAGCCCCTCGCCCCCGAGGGACCAGCCGGCCCAGAGAGTATACAGCCAGGGCGATGAGGAGGGTAAGTACCAGGTCCCCCAGCACAATACCGGCCAGCACACCAGGGCTCACCGCAGAGCAGTTGCATTCTGGGAATGTATATGGCACAGGAGTCAGGGGAGATCAATGGGAGTTGGGAATTGGGAGATGTCAGGGGAGAGGTTTGAAGAGATTGGGAAGAAATGGGGAGGTCTTTCAGAAGTAGGGAGGGGTATTTCAGGGTCTAGGCCTACCGCAGTGGGACTGGACAGGGCTGAGACCTGAAGAAAGAAAAAGAAGGTAAACTAGGTGTGGAGCTATGACTGGAGGGTGGGCATAGAAGCTGGGGAGGGTGGGTCCTGACAGCCAGGGGGCGAGGGTAGAGAGCAACTTCTGGTAGGACCTGTGGCTGACACAAAGGCCACTGGACTGTGTTACTTCCACACTGACTTGTCCTATTACACCACCCGTAGAGTCCCCTCCCTCCGCTTCTACTGGAGGCCAAATATTGGAGTTTCAGGTTCTGGGAGAGACCCATAGGGTTTTGGGGGCTGGGGACCTGCTCCTATCCCAACCTTCCCCTTTGGTTCTCTTTCCACCCTGTTCCCTGCCTTGCCCCAAGGTGAGCCCAGAGACTCAGGAGGCAGCTTCAGAAGCCCCCAACTCACCACCCACAGTCAGAAGGAGAGGCAGGAACAGAAGCCTGTTGAAGGGTCTAAGGCCCCCCATGATGCAGGCGACACTGCTGGATACTACAGTCCAAGGGCCAGTGGGATGTGGCCAACCAAGTGAAGGAGGAAGTCTGAGGTGGGTGGTGGCAGGAGGAGGAGGGGTCAGTAGGGGAGGAGGGACAGAGATAGATAACACCGGAAAAATCAGGCCCAGACAGCCCAGGGGCAATGCTATAGCCCCCATTGGCTGGACATGAAGGGCAAAGGGTACATACTAGTATATCAACTCAACCTCCATCCCAGTCAAGGGTCAGACATTGTAACAGGACGGTCAGTGGCTGACTATGGTTGAAGCCAGCTCTGCCTCTTCCCGCTGGGCAACGCTGAGCAAGTCACTCAATCTCTCAGGCTGTTTCCTCATTTGTAAAATGGAGAGTAAAATAGTTCCTACTTTGTAGGGAGTTGTGGGATCAAATGAATTAATGTTTCTAGAACAGGGACTGACACTTGTCAGCGTTTTATAAGCGCCAGCTATAATCATTAGATAATCAGAACTTGTGATGTTCATAGCATATTAAAAAGGAGCCATCAGGACATGGCCACTAATGTGCAGGCACTCTGCCCCAAGTGTTAACTCACTTAACCCCTGTTAGGTCGGAGAGAGCCCAGGATCGGATACATGCAGGCATGTGATGAGACAATGGACTCCCCCTGGAATTTCTCACAGATCTGGGATTTCTCACAGGTCAACGTGCCAGACACAGATACCTGCCTCTCCCTGAATTCACAGCGATCCCCACACAGATACTGACCCATTCCTGAATGTGCCGCCCACCCCCTGCGGCTGAGACTCCCTCAGTTGAATGTGTGATGATCCCTGCTGCGGACACTTCCTCAGTTCAGGCCCCCGCCCTCACCCAACCGCAGTATAAAAAAAGCGCCCCCCTCCATGTTGGCGTGAATCCATGTGCCCTGTCTTTGGGGGTACGTGGGTCTCCCGGGGACGCAGAATAAACTTTCCTTTCCTTTCTTTTCTCATTCACTGGACTCTATTTCTTGCGCCGCCTCCTGAGCCACCTAACCTAACAACCCCCACAACACCTTTCTGACATAGATGCTCTTATTATCCCCATTTTACAGAATAGTAAAGACACTTGCCCAAGGTCACTCAGCAAATAAAGGTGGAAATGGAACCCAGAAACCAAAGACAGATATTTGACCCATAGAGAGAAAGCAAAAAGAACCAAGATAAAAGATAGAGGAGCCCTAGCCAGTTAGGCTCAGTGGATAGAGCGTTGGCCTTCGGACTGAAGGGTCTCGGGTTCGATTCTGGTCAAGGGCACATGCCCAGGTTTCAGACTTGATCCCCAATAGGGGTCATGCAGGAAGCAGCCAGTCAATGATTCTCTCTCATCATTGATGTTTCTATCTCTCTCTCCCTCCCTCTCTGAAATTAATTAATTATATATATATATATATATATATATATATATATATATATGTAAAAGATTGAGGAGAAAATGATGGTAAGACAGAGAATGAAGGAGAGGAACAGACAGTGAGACAGACACACACATCACAGACACAAGATTAGAGGTTGGGGTGAGGCAGGTGGGGGGACAATGTGATGACCACGGGGCTGGGCTGGGCTGCTCCACCAAATGAGGAAGTGGCCAGAAATGAAGACTGAGGGAGAAGACAAAGACTTCTAGCTCTCAGCAGGAGGGCTAGGGCTGGGGCTGGGGAAGGAGGAACCTGAGGTTAGGGCACTGGGGGGATGGGCCAGCGGCAGGAAGCCCCCCTCCCCCATCCAGGCGTCACACCCCACAGCTCCTTGGGCTAAGGAGAGAAAAGGGGAAACTGGATGCTAGTCATGGGACAGACTCTGAGTGGCCTGTTGCTAGGGGTGGAGATGGTGGGGGGAGGGGCGATTCCGAGTCTGGAGGAGAGAGTCAGGGCCCAGCCCAGGCAGCACTGGCTGCTGACTAGGAGAAATTCTGAGACATCCTAAACTAAATTACCGCAGGCTTATGGGTGGAAGGAAGAGACAAGAGAAGTTTATCAGTTAATGACTGAATGGCAAAGACAACAAAAGACTGCTCACATTCCTGAATGAATGTTGAATTAACAGGGCAGACTCTGCTGTCTTCTTATTTACTCACTAGAGGCCCAATGCACGAAATTCATGCAAGGGCTTTGGCCCCCCCGCTGCCACAGCGGTGCCTCTGCCTCTGCCCCCGCCGTCGCTGCTGGAGGGCCTCTAGGGCCTCTGCCGCCTCTGCCGCAACCCCCGCCCAAGGGCCTCTGCCGAGGCTTTGTCCGGAAGGATGTCCGGTCTAATTAGCATATTACTCTTTTATTATTATAGATGAACTTTTTGAACTGTTGTCCACAACCAATCCAAAGGAGCAAATATTTCTTTCTTATGGACAATGCACCCGTCCCAGAACTAGCTGTGCCTCGACTTCCCCCACCTCTTTACCTGTGACCAATGTAAATTCTCTAAAAACAACTTAACTTTATTTTTTTAATCCAAACTCATTGTATAAAAATTCCTGATGGCCAGCATGTTGTCTCCTTCTCACCCTGCTGCTGGTGGTTTAGATTGCATGCCCCAGGACCTGGTAGCATTTGGCTCAGCAAAACCTTTCATTCAGAAAAGCTTTTGGCCGTGAAAGCTTTTTGTTTAACACTGCTAATGGCTGCCATTGCCCAGACCTGGCCAGCAATCAGGGCCAGGCCAATCAGGGCCCGAAGGCCCTGGCAGGGTTGGGAGAGGAGGCAACGGTAGCCGGGCCGGGCGCAGAAGGAACGGATGCCGATGCCACTTTGGTGCCCCGTCACCATGCAGTTCCCGCCTCCCCCGCTCCTCCTTCCCTCTCATAGCAACTTGTCAACTGGTCATTCTGGTCATTCCAGTTGTTCGGTTGTAACAGTAGCTTAGGCTTTTATATATAGACTAGAGGCCCGGTGCAC